GTCCGTACTCAAGCACCTGTGCAGGGACAGCGTCCCTCTGCGTTGCCTAGCGTGCCTTCTTCGAATCTTCTATTCCGGCGAGGAGATGCATGGTCAATCAGTCTCACACCAGTGGAAGCGTCTGAAAAATCACAGCAACATCATCTCCAACTAACACGCGTGCTGCGGAATGACTTTCCGACTTCGCTTGCAGCGGAGATCGAGTACCAGACACCCACTTCTTCCAGTGCTTATCGGCTGGAACTCGCAGCCACCTCAACCACAGCATCTGCTCTATTTTCATCTGCTCATCGCCGTGGAGACATGAGTAACCCTCGACACATTGTCCTTCCTCTATCTGGGAAGTTAATAGAAGTGCTTGTGTCAGCCGGGGATCATGTAGCTGAGAACCAGGTGATAGCGTTTATCAAGCAGATGAAGATGGAGGTGGAGGTGCGCAGTCCGCGTGCAGGTCAAGCACACTGGGTGTATGAGATGGAAGATGAAGAGGAAGATGTGGCTGAAGGGATGTTGTTGGTGGAATTGACTGACGGGTTGCAAGGGAAGCTCTAGGACAGGTGTCACTGGAACGGATAAACGTCAAATAACAGCTCTGGTATGATGGCAGAATCATACAAGAATAAACCAGACGGTGGTAAAACATTAAACTGTGTTTTTGTGTTGCTATTTTGTTGCGCAGTGTTTAGTGGTGATGATGAGGTGGTGATAGATCGATGGCAGCAATGATCTCATTCCCCGGCAACGGATCCACTGATCGTCACATGTCCACCGTGCCAGCTCTCCAAGATCTCCCTCAATCTCAACCTTCGCTTTCTCTCATTTCGCATTATACGCTCGGTCTTTGCTGTTGACTCTTGGGCATCTCATGAAACAATATTAACTCCACCAAAACCCACCCACACAATGGATTCGCTCTTACTCTACATCCTCACGTTCAATTGCGCTCGAAACCCTGTCGATGTCGACCGCTTCTCCCGCCATTTCTTCGATGCCTTACCCCGCACCGATGGTTCCAGCTCGCCCGCAGCCCCGGAACTCATCGTGCTATCCCTGCAGGAAATAGCTCCTATCGCCTATGCCTTTCTCGGAGGCTCGTTTCTAACGCCATACTTCTCGGCTCTGACACAGGTGGTGGATCGCGCAGTCGCCCAATACTGGAATGTCCATTACGTCAATCTGGTTACCGACAATTCCGGGATGACCGGTCTGATGGTCTTCGCTCGGTCGGATGTCGCTGACCAAGTCTCATCCATTGATACCGCCCGTGTAGGATTTGGCTTCCAAGACATGGGCAACAAGGGTGCCGTGGGGGCGCGCATTGCCTACAGAGGCGCAGCAGGAGCCGGGGATCCTTTGGACCTCACTTTCGCTGCTGCGCACCTCGCCCCCATGGAGTATGCTGTCGAGCGTAGGAACGCAGACTGGCGCAGTTTGGTCGAGAGATTGGTCTTCAGCTACTCACCTGCTGCAGGTGGGGAAGTCCCCGACACAGCCAACGCGGAGGAAAATGCGCCCCTGCTGCGGCAATCCCAGGAAGGCCATCGAGGCATCTACACGCCTACAAGCTACCTCTTCCTGGCGGGTGATCTTAATTACCGTACCTCCAACGTATCGCCGCGACCAGACGACCATAGCCGATTCCCGCGAGCGGATGTAGACCCTTCCGACCCTCAGCACTACTCACATCTTTTGAAACAAGATCAGCTGTCCCGCGAGATGGAACAGTCTCGGTGTTTCCACGGACTCTCCGAAGCCCCGATCACATTCCCCCCAACATACAAGTATACGTTGGCAGCACGCCAGGCAGCAAGTGATCCAACGGCAGATAATGCACGCCCAGATTGGAAGTGGACAAGGACCCGCTGGCCCAGTTGGTGCGACCGTGTGTTGTATCTGGATTCTCCACCGGGCACGAGCAAGCGAGGTCAGGTCAAACCTCTAAAGTACGATGCTCTGCCGTTATTCCCAACCTCCGATCATCGCGCCGTCGCCTTGGCCGTATCTATCCCAGCGCAGTCCGTGCTTCCAGAAGATACGACGCAAATGGGTGTCCCTTTCCCGATCGATCCAGAATGGGAGACTAAACGAGATGCCGCGCGACGGAAGGAACTTGCGGTGGGATTTTTGGCGTACCTGGCCTTGACCTGGGAGGGAAACGGCCTGTTACTTGCATCGGCGGTAGGACTTCTGGGGGCGTGGCTCGTGCTCCAATCGTTCTTTAACGTTTGAAGATGCGTTGCAGACCTGCAGCTCTGCGGAGTTTTCCTGAAACTGTGGCCCATGTGGATCATCCCGATCTCCCGTAGCAGATGCAAAGTCAATACGAACGGGTGATTTTCCTGGATCTTCATGGGCTATTTCGGGTTTCACCATCAAACAATGGTAACATTTTGACTGCCGGTGAATAATCGTCTCCAAGGTCGTTCGGCGCAGCATAACTCACATCCTCGTCCATCTGAGACGGCGGCACCGCATTCAAGGCGACATCGTATTGGATCCATACCTGCAGTGGGACCCAGCAAGCTATAACATTGGATTTGCCTCTGCACCGGGTCAGCTGACTGGGAGCCGGATCTAGAACGGTCGGGAACAATGCCCAATGAAGACGGAAAGAGGAAGGACCGGCACGGATGAAGAGGCTCAAAGCAGATCGACAATCTAGACACCAAATTTCTTCCCAAGGAGTAAAGGATTCCTGGGCGGGGGTTGGTGATTAGTTGCAAGGTGTACAAGCCACACTTGTGTGCTTCCGCTGCTCTGGGCTTCCGTTCTAGGATTCCCAAATTCCAGCCGGCGACACAACCTAGTAGTGCCCGGAGACGATGGAGCCGTTACAGAAGAAAGTTTGGCCCCGGTTAGATCGGGACACTGACCGTCTGACGGGCTTGGTCGTATCTAGCCTTGCGACCCAGCCAGTGGGTATGGATTCCTTCCAGATGGGCATCCAGACTCGTCTACTAGTTAGTCGATGGCTTGCCGCTTGCCGTCCATGCAAAGTGGGAGCAATTGCACGGTTGGTCGATCCTCAAGGGCCAAGCTGAAGACCTGCTTCGGTTATATAGGATAGATTGATTGCTGAATAGATAGATAAAATATCTAATACATAATATTTAATTAGAAGGGCGGGTTTTGTTGCAGAGCGGGCCAGTCCCGAGGTAATTAAGAAACAAGGGCAGAAAGGCAAAATAGCTAATGAGAGGGACGGACGGGCTGCCCGCTCCATGGAAGCGAAGCAAGTGAGACCCCCAAAAACGACGCTAAAGGAAGGGTTTTTCATCGTGCAGCGGAACTACTTGTGTCTAGTAGTTAATGGTGGTAAGAGATGGATGCATTTCTGAGTTGTTGGAGGAAGAGAGGATCCGCTCTTTTTGCTCACTGGTGAAACCATTTAGTAACCGACGCACACCATTGTCCGACCGGATTCGGTTACAGCGGCTTGGTAGTGGTCGTCAGTCTGGTGATGATGAAAGATGGTGACGATGCTGGTTTTTCTTTAATATACGCTTGATATTAATCTATGCTGCAAGGTTTAATCTATTGAATGGGCGGTAATTTGCTGCTCATTAATGGGGATTAATGGACGGTAATTTGCTGCTGGAGATGTCCACTCTGAGATATCATACGGTGCGTGTGCTTGTGGTTTTGGGTCTGGTATAACTGATAATTAAGTAATTGATTCAAATCCATAATATAGAAATCAAACAAATTATCACAGGCTTCGCCAAGACTCAGCTTCGGCCCTTTCCAACTATCTTGTGATTGTGTGAGAGATTGGATTGGTCTTACTTGCCGGATGGTGGCAGGAAGAACACGGCATGCAAGTGCACACCGGGTCATGGAATTATTGAGTAGTAGTAGACAGTAGTATATTATTGCGGTCAACGGAGTTGAGGGTAGTCCGTTAAGACCCGGCTAGTCCTACCGAATGCACAAAATTGAGGCAGTGGTAGAGCATCAAGGAGTAGTCCATCCCTAACACCCAACTTGGAACTATAGAAAAGAATCTAGAGCAACTTTCTAGTACCTACTAAATATCACAGTGTAGTAAAGTAGAGATAACCAATGCGACCATCCGTGTAGCCTACAGGCACATGATCCTTTGGAGGTCAAGTGACCACCATAGATCAAGTTTCCCGATGCTTCCATTTCCCCTCCTCATACTACTATTTCCCCCCCTCCTCTTACTTTCCACATATTGATCCATGGATGCTGTGCTCAGCCATACACCAGCCTTCGGCCGTACCGCACAATGACGGTCCAGGTCTGGACCCTCCGGCCCGGGATGTCTTGCTGGATCGGCCCTGGAACAGAACTTTCTGGCGCTCGTTATGATTACCTCCTACTGTCAGGTTCGCTGAAACCGATGGCTGGGCACGGCATTTCTATGCAGGCGGACCAATTGCGGAAGCCTGGAAGAACCCAGGCTCACCTGACAGGATTTCCCTTGGGTCTGTCGGCTTCAACCTGTCCACTACTGGATTAAGCAGCACATGCTGGACGGATCCTGACCCCGATGGCCATGAACAAGGTTGAATTGCGGATCGTATTCCTTTTGCACTGGACTGAACTGAATTGGCTGGCTGCTTCTGAGACACAACCATACCCTGCCCCTCCTCTCTCAGGCTCAGCTAGGCTGTGGGAAAGCTAGGCTTTACGGAATTACCGCCCACGGCTTTGCGGCAGGCATCAATCAGGCCTTCCCCACTTTTGCCAACCCAGCGGTGCGGAACCTAGTGACTCCCACTTGACTCTTACCGAGACTACTACCTTTTAAACTAAAGAAAAAAAAAAAAAAATTAAAAGGCCCGAATAAGAGAGGCGAACAGGCAGAATGTATTGGAAAAGCAATAATGATCACCACAAAACAAGGCAATTGAGGGGTGATCAACAGAGGTAACACAACGGAAGACAAGGATGCGACCAGGGAAGACGCGGAGGACCGTTCGGTGTCATCCAGACTCTACTCAGGTTGTCTTCTGACTCACCCGATTGAAGTAACAATGAATGCCATGGATCAAGGCAATGCCAGGGTGAGAACAAAGACCTGACAGTAAAACCGCCCTTTCATTGGTCACTTCACCCGTGTCTTCCGACAGCTGACTGCGCACTAAAGAGGGCAAAAGGGGTGAGACTGAGAGAAGAGGGGGCCAACTCCGAAAGGGGCAAAGGGGGAGAGAAGGGAAACTGTGAGAGAAAAGGAGAAGAAGCTCAGTCGACGTTCCAGAAACTGTGGAAACTTTCTTGGTGCGACGGTTCGGGCCCAAGATCCAGACTCTGCTGCTACGGCTCTATTACCCTCATCTATTCGAAACTCCATGGGCTGCTACGATGCCGGCTGTTGGTACCAGTGGGTCCCCCAATTATTATCTGCTTCTCTATCTTAAGCGACCAGGTCGACAATACCAGCTGCATTGCGATGCATGGTTGAGTCGTGAAAATCACTTTTTTGACAGGGCCCACGCCGCCCTGCAATCAAGTCATCCATCCTCCACTCACCCAGGGGCCAAAACTGCGAGTCATATGGGCGATCAGGTTGTTACATGGGGGCAGACTGTATGGTAGGTTCGGGAACAACAAGAAAAAAAAAAAAAAGAAAAAAATTTTTTCCCTTTCCCCTTCGCTCTTTTGCCCCCTCCCTTTTCCCCATTCCGGATCACCATCGAACAGCCAGGCGGGAAACACAAGTGTCCACTGTTGGGCATTCGAAGAACCAATGGCCCGTTGGGAGTCCATCAACATCACAGGGAGCAAAATAATTCATGCCAAGGCCAGCAGCCGGTGATGCCCAGGATAGCAAGCGAAGGCAGGCCCTTGTGGTACACTCAAATTACGAATGCTGAGATAGATGATGGTGAGTCCCGGCGTTTATGATTTGTTTACTAGTATCCATCATCGCCACCATTGTCACCAGCACCACAAGGTAGTAATCATTGACCATACACAGTCGGGTATCTAGACAAGTCTGGTTCCAATTCGAGGGCTGCATCAGAACAATATACACACGGGCTCCATCTTGCCCCGTCCCGTGGCCCGTTGGATGCCATGGTACCCCAAAATTAATATTTGTTTTTGCCTATTACGACCATTTGCATAGCTTGCTTTATATTATTTGACATTTTTTTTTTCTCTTTCCGAATTTATTATCACTAATACTCGCCCGTTCTTCGACGACCCTTTACCCCGATCTTCCTGGAAGCCGTTTCGCATAGATCTCCATTACTGATATAAATCTGAGATCCCTCAAATTTACCTCCTTTTCCTCTTAGGTCTCCTCGACGTTCCATCCCATTTTCCCTCCGTGTGATAATTGACCGTTGATCGATCGATTTATCTGCCCTGCACTCCTTTTGTCACTCATTCCTTTTTGCTAGTCAACTGCTGCACGCTCTTGCACTTTTGTGTCTCTCTTCGCCCCATCCACCACCCACTTTAGTGGCGCAGCCTAACCTCAGCGCTAGAACCTCAACGGACCCCGGCCGGTGCGCCTAAATACGCTTCCTTTTTTTCGCTCCCCTTGCTGGTGCCGCTGCAAGACAACGGCCTTGCGATCTTGACGTAATTGCCCCGTGGCTTGCGATTGGGGCTATTTTGAATTTTTTTTAACCCTCCCCTCTGTCTCTCCTTCATTACTATTCATTGTCTCCGGTGCTTTTGACACTTCTTTTTTTATTGTACTTTTTCCCCTTCCTGCTCCGCTCCGAGACAGCAAGTTTCAGCCCTAGAAAAGCTCCCTTGACGGGATTTATCTTCTTCACTCGAACCACGACTACCAAGAAAAAAACATCTACGCATTTCTCAACTTTCCCCCACAAAAAAAAATCGCCATGTTCTCTTGTGCCAATTATCCTCGCGGTTGCCGCGGTCGCGTCAACATCCAGGGAGGCAAATGCTCTGACTGTGTGGTAAGTCGTCAGCCCTAAACCGGACCTCCGCATCTCACTTGCATTCTACGTGAACCCCAACACTAACATGGCGATTTACAGCAATTGAAGCTGCGTCGGCCTCTTTCAGCATCTCCCTTTGCCCAGCCCCGAGACTACCGGAGAGCCCTTCCATCGGAGATCCTCAACGACTCACCATTCAAGGAGATCGAGCGCTCCCTATGACGACACGGCTACGATCCCATGGCGCTTTAAAATAGGACGGGTGCAGAGATCCCAAAGGATCACTGTGCATATTTCCAGGGGTCCTGCCGGCTGGGACCAAACCCAGGGAATTTTTTGAGCCTATCTCGCCAACTCTTCGCTTCGCTTCTCGCTTACCGTATGCGGCTTGATGCTCTCTGACTTGATGCATTGCTGGGAGTTTGATCGATCATCTATTATACCATGGAAGGGCGGCTTTATCGATTTTATTTATCCTGGCGGTCTGGCACTGTTCCACTCTCGTCCGCCATCCTTCCCCGTCTCTTTCGTCAGGCAAAACTGCAGAGCGCGGGAAGGGTGGAGGGCGGTCGAGTAGGCTGGTGTACATGTGGGTTTGCTTCTTATTTAATCACAGGAACGGCATTTTGGTTATCTATATTTTATTAATGGGCTACTGGGTGGATTGCCGGATGGTTATAATCTGGGCCCGGAAGGGGCCATGGCGAGAGAGAGAAAAGAGAAAGCTGCTTGGGCTTGACAGTCCAAGACTGCCGACAGCAGGAACGCGCACACACCGCTGGGAATCCATCAACAGTGGACGCAGGGGGTGCCGGCTGGATCTCTCTCTCTTTCTCTTTCTCTCGCCCGGTCATTCTTCTATTCTTCTTTTCCCTCTTCCTTTCTCTCCCCCTTCCTCGCTTTCTATACCGTCTTTGTCTGGTTCCCACACCTCCGTGTACCATTTTCTTTGTCATGTCATGTGTGCTCTGTAATATCGTTGGTCGATTTCCATACCCATTCGGCTAATTGTACGATTTATTATCCTCTTTTTCAAAACAAAAAATCGAATAATGCATTTGCCTTAGATATCTATTTTCTCTTGCTTTTCTTATTCAGTTCTATTTCCTTAGCGCTGGAAGGCAGAAGAAAAAAAAAAAAAAGCAACGAGCAATGAAAGAAAGAACTACACCTAAATAATAGGGTAAGATGATCGGCTGACAGTCCCGAACCGTCCGTCCACTTTACTCCTCCTTCGCAACTCCGGACTCCGGAAATGTATCTAATGCCTGCAGACCGTTGTCGATCCTTGGTACTTGCTTTTTCTGTCCCTTCCTTTCCTCAATGTTCTTCGGTGTGACATCCGGGGGGAAGGAGAACGAGAACTTGGGGGCCCAGACCCCTGCAGAGCGCGGATCCCGGATGTCAACGCTTCCCGGCTTACATGTACATGCCGGACTGTCATACTTTCATTTTGCTACTATTTAGCTACTAATTACCAAGGATTCAGTTGCCTACCTTTTGTGTGTTGCTCATCACACCCGGTGACCCTGCGACCCGTGTGTATGTGTGTATGTGTGCACGGTCACGGTGATTGACTATCTGACGTATGCCGGCCCCAGTCTTCCCGAGATGAAGCATAACGCGTCCCCCCCCCCCCTCCCTTGCCAACTGGGTGTATCGGGATGGGTGGAGTTGGGTTGGATGAGATGAGGGTGTCGTCATCGTCATCATCATCATCATTGCGCGGGAACTGATTATTGGCGTGTCGGCTATGATAGGGAACCCGTGCCGGGATTTTTGTTTGATAACTGTGGTGGTAGTGGTGGTGTGGCTCGGCTTTGGGTTCCGATCTTATTACTACTTTTCTAGTGGATTAAATTGTATATGTACTAGTTAGTGGTGTCTTACTGCTTGGGTTGATGTAAATATCTGACTGTATCACTAGGCTGTTGAATATTGGTGTATGCTCCTAGATATATATATTTTCACATGTGCTAAGGAACATGATGAGGGTTGTTCATCTAATTATTCATAGAGCTTAGTATCTGCTCCCCTCAAATAAGACCACATATCGATTTCTACTAAGTTACTGTGGTATCATCTCTCTCCATGGTTGGATCGATCGGGTCCTATCAATGACAATTAGTTAGTAGTATTCTGCTTAGTATATACTGAGTATACACTGGATAATGAACGAATGGTCCATGCGATCATATATTGATACTACCTGCTTACACTCACTGAAGAACCCAATTCTTCTTTTCTTCTTGTTATGTACAGACAGAAAAGAAGATATAACTGACTGGACATGGTATATATCGTCAATAAGCCCATTGTGCTGACACGCCATTGTTGTAATTGCGATCGAACTGGTAGGGACAGTGCAAGTGCAACCATCATGTCCATATTCGGCAGGAACTCGTGCCTTCCCTCTGCTTTTCCTACATGGACCTTCACCTTCTCTGATTACTGCTGCAGATGAGAGCATTACCTTTACATCTCTATCATATATCCCTCATACTTCCATCACCTTGATACATGCCCCATTGGTCGTCTATACACACCATGGAACCCCTGCGAAGGTCCCAATCGTCTCGGTCCATGAGAAGAAGTCAACACAGTTCCCAATCCACTGAGCCCTTCGATCCAGAACTCGCTAGGTTTCAGGCTACTACGGCTGCGACTCGAGCGATGCTGCGTTCTAAGTGCTCGTATGATGTTCTCGGTGGTCCAAGTCAAATGGCTGTGCCTCAGAGGCAACATCGACCTGCAGGTGCTGCATTCAATTCTACAAATGCTTCCGCTGAGAATGAAGATCTTCGTCGGCCTGTGCTCGATAAGGCGAGCGATCTATCTGCTCCAGCTGGTCTACCGTCTATCAGGGAGTTTGGAGGACTCGATGCCGGGATCGCTACGTTGCCTTCTTCGTATCGGCGACTACGCAAGACCCGATCGATGTTCACGAATTGGCAGCGCTCCTCCCATGTATCTCGTGGACTGGCCTCACCTGGATATCTAAGTAATAATTTCCCGGCAAAGAGAGGATCTCAACATACTTCACGCGCTCCTGGCACGCTGAGACGCTCCATGTCATTCTTCCGAGGGGATACTCGAGATGCTGATGCTCTCCGATATGCTAAGGGTCAAGAGGTGGCGATTGAATTGGCACGCAATCACTACCAGCAGCCGGAAAACTGTCAGACTGAGCCCCGGAAATCTTCACTCATAGTTCCCAAGTCAAGGCGAGAGCACAAACCCTTCAAGAAAACACTCCGTTCAGGGGTGTCAGACGCAGAGCTAGCAAGCGTGTCGCCGGCAACGCAGCGGTCCACTAACGTCATATCCTACGGCAAGGCTAGATCACTGTCGTCGTCCCTCAAGAAAGGAATCAAGAAGGTGTTTGGGCTCTCCAGACCATCATCGGCCCGTGTGTCTCTGGGGAAATCTCCCTCAAATGACCAACAACGGACACAGGGGTCGCGCTCGCCAATATCCGAAAAGCACTCTGATCTCTTGAAGTCTGGCATCGAGGAAAGCGCCCTTCTCCACTCACCAGGTACCGAGGGAACTGTGATATATACAGGAGTCAAGAAGTCTGGAAGCTCTGAGAGCCTTGCCACAAGTCGTTCTCGCGTAACAAGCTGGGCGGACTCGACGATAGCAAACACTGTAGTAACACATAGAGCAGACGACCACAGCTCTTTGTCTGTCATAGACGAACTAGAAAGCTCCGTCCTCAAGCCGGACTCATCCGAAGATGTTTCACTGGCCACTCGTCGCACTCCAAAGCCTAAATGTACGATAGACAGTCAGCGCTTGTATTCCGCGCTGATGAGGCGCATCGATGGGAACAAGACGGAGAATGCAAGCGAGGAAATCGTCCTTGGCCACGTCAAGGAACATCGCGCAATTCCGACACCTGTGTCCTCAATGTACACTCGCCGTAGTAAGAAGACGATTCGTTTGATCGCCAGCGATGAGTCACTTCAGAGCCCCGGTTCCTATACGACAGCTGATGCGGGCACAGTCACGCCCTGCGAAACAATTCCATGTCAGGCTCAGCGCACCCATGGCCAAAAACGTCTGCAGGACAACCATTATGATATTTCCAAACTGGCATCGTCCAAACACACTATCAAGGAGGCTTCTAGAGACGAGACTGGAGATGTGGCTATGGGAAGGTCTCAGAGCCCAGAGGAAAGCGAGGATTCCCCAAGTATATATTCTCGCTCAACAGGTGGAAACTCGCCCAGCACAGAGGACCCGAAACCGGGTGAGTGTGACCCTGAAGTGGCGAATGAACCAGGTGTGGCTACCATATACGCAAGTCAGCGGGCGATCTATAGCTCGCCAAAGCGTAATTCTGGCCAGGGTCCCAATGCGATGCAACGACCGAGTGGGGATTGGCAGCAATGGATGCACACGCAAATGGAGCGAATTGAATGCCTCACACCTACCAGGCGTCACTATCGTGAAGATGCCCAAATCCAAGACGAAACAGCGGATTTCGCTTACCGAACCCCATCTCGAGACAGACGAGGCTTTTGGAGTGGATCACCAGACGAAGACCTGTGGACGACCTGCAAAGTGACAGCCAGAAATAACTTCTCGCGTCCATTCAGTCGGTCATCGAGTATACGCACCACAATCATTGCCCCGAAGGAGCAACCAGATACTCTGGTTCCACCTCCGCCGCCGGCGGACTTGACCCCCAAGGTATCAAGCAGCTCCAGCGGGCATAGCTTGTTTATAAATCAGGTCGAGAGACGGCCTGATGGTATGGCCTTGTCACCAGTACCTGCGCTATTGAATTATCGATATCGAGCCCCAGAGTCCCCGACTCCAAGAAGAGATGCAACGGACAAAGCCCGGTGGAGAACAGGGGGTAGAGGATATGGGAGACAGCCTTCCAGATTGGATTCGAAGGCCTCCCAATTCAGGTCTTCACGTGCACCTTATGAGAATAGAAGATTGACTGACGAGAATGTCCGAGTCGAGAGTGGGTATCACGAGATCACTAGCCAGGACAGTCAAGTGCAGAACATGTACTCGCCCATCTCGAGTAAACGCATGGTGGATATGTTTCTGGAAAGTCGCCGACGACGAATGGGCCTCGAAATATCCGACGCAGCACCATCCGAGGGTGCGTTTATTTAAACCATCGATCAAGAAGTCTACATTAGCGAGTGTCCTACTAGGAATGGGTTATCTGTATCTTCCGGTTATCCTTTTGGTCATGACTGACGCTTCAAAGAATGAACAAACACCGATTGTGGCAGATGATGAGACAACTCAGTCTAGTAATAGTGTGTATGATAAAACCTATACCAAGTCATTGTCCAATGACACGTCTCCATATGAGTACTTGCCCTCTTAATCAGAGAAGACAATCGCGTGTACACTGCATACACCGTATGATCCACTTCCTAACCACTATAACCCCCCAACAAGGGGAATCGATATCAAGATATTAACTACTAAATATGAATAAATATATGGAATACATTTGACCCTTGTCAGTCTTCCCCTAACACCCCTACCCACCACACCACACATCCTCCCAGCTATGTACTTACTTCAACCACCACAAAACAATCACTCCACATAATTCGCCGGAAAACTCCCCTTCACCCCACGCAACTCCCCCTCCCACCAATCATCCGTACTATCCGTCTTTTTCAAGACACGGATGCGATCTCCCTCCCGGAAGGCCAAGTCTCCAGCACTTTGACCTCCAAAATCATACAGGGCCGTCACGTACATGGCATTGTTCGAGTTAGCCCGGGGTGGGGGCGGCGGCGGGGGCTTCTTTTTCCCGGCGACTAAGGCACTCACGCCGGGGGAAGTTGCTCGGATGGCGCTGGATGGGGTGGATGAGGGCTGGATGCGGCTGAAGTAGTCGGCGCGGGCGGCGACGGAGGAAGAGGGGCCTGGGGATGGGGTGCGGGCGTGCTCGGTTGCGGAGTAGTAGGATTCGGTGCCTGGGGAGGAGGATGGTTGTGGGGAGAGGTGGTAGGTGGAGGGGATGGTGAGGTTGTTGTTGGAGGCTGAGGAGGCTAATCGGGGTTTGGTTTCGAAGACAGGGGATGGTTTGGTGTCGTAGGATGGTTTGGGGGGTGGGGGCAGCTTTTTGTTGCTGAGTGCTGTCGCTGTCGCTGTAGCTGCGGCTGTAGCAGAAGGTGAAGTGGGCCGTGGGGGCTTGGGTGGAGGGTTCTCGCCGTTGGTGTTTGAGTTCGAGGGACGACGGGAGAATGAGGATCCGTTGATGGCTGGTAGACGGCTGGTGATGCGGGAGGTTCGTGATTCCTCGGGGATTTGGGACATCTTCACGGTTTTGCCGTTGACGATGCAGCCGAATGCTTCGACTTCTTGTTGGACGGGGAGGTGGTCGCGTTCCCATTCTTGGATGACTTGCTCCATGGGGGGAGCCGGGGAGGGGAATTGCGTCTCCTGGCAGTAGTTGTGGACTACGGTATAGTAGTTGGCGAGCATGGTGTTTTGGATCTCAATCTGTGTGGCGAGCAGACGAGGAAGTAGCGAGAATGCAGCGGCGATCAGAGGTGGTAGACATTCTCGCAGGTGGTCGTCTGCTGCGTGGTAGTCCTGCGACCGTTAGATACTAGGTATAGATGGATTGATGGCAGGTGGCTCGTACCTCGGTCGCTTTGGCAAGGTCACTTTCTGCCTTGGCCAGGGCTGCATTGTCCCGGTCTGATCGCTTCGTCTTTTTGGCATAGCTGTCTACGCGCCCTTGGTAGCGCTCGAAATCCAACTAGAATGGGAACAGAATTAGCATGGGACGGTTGCATTGATGGGTGGGTTCCTGAGCGGGAGGCCAGGAACGGGGTTCCTATGGGTCCCCCATGTGCAAGATAATGCGCACCTTTCGATCATCTCGCTTTTTGATGGTCTTCTTGACTGGACTTATAAATTCCCTAGCCTGCGACGCAGGTCGGATCATGCGATCATCGATGGCAGCCAGATCCCCTAGTAAATCTTTCCGGAGGTCTTCATAGTGCTCGCGGAGCTTGTTGGTCCGAGCCAGGGTGGCCTGTGGGGTTAAAGCAGGCTGTGGCGCAGAAGAATCGGATGAGCCGAGGATAGGAGCATAGAGGCCTTCGAACTCGCTCAACATTCGATTTTGGTGCGTCAAGAGAGACGACCAAGCATCGCGCCATGCGCTGGTGGAATCGATGATCTGTCGGAATGCGGAAGAGTTGCTGTCAGTTCCAAAATAACGGAAGGATATCAACAAATCACACCCCGCAGGGGAAGTGCACGCTAAAGCATGATGCTGGGAAAAGAAATTATAATATAATGGTACTACTTACTCGTCCTAAGATCTTGTCTGCTTCTTCAAAATCCTTGAGCAGAATTGCCACTTGGCTGTCATCGGCCGACCGTTTCATAAGTCGGCCAAATTGCCTCTGCATCGACTGCATGATGTGCCAATTGGGCCCCTCAGTGGAGGGGGGAAGAGGGGAGGAGGAGAAAGGGAGAAATGCGGAGATTGGGACAGACAGGCGGGGAATTTGTTAGCTAGGAAGGAGAGACGGTCATTGGCGAAGAAGGAGATTCAGGGACGAGGAAAGGGATTGAAAATGGCCGCGGAATCAGGAGAAGTTTAGAAACAGAAGGGGGAGAAGAAGAAGAGAGAGAGAGAATGAGGAATCGTGGCATTGCTGGAAAAGGACTCATTTGCGCGTGAGAACTAAGCCCAGCCGCGCATGACGCAGCCCCCCTCAGAGGGGCCGTTGCTACTACTTTTGCTACTGCTGCTGCTGTTGCTGCTTTCCCCAGCAAAAGGGAAAAAAAAAAGAGGGTCTCAAGCGTGTTTCAGCCCTTCTGGCTGGATGGGCTGACGCAACGCTATTTTTGTCGCGAATAATGTCTTTCTTTCTGCGGTGGGAAAGTACCTTGTCGATCAGGTTCACATGAATGGATTTCTCTGGCGAATTCCAGGGAACGGACCAGTTCCAACTAGTCGATGCACTACCCTGACGCTAAAGGATATGCCAGATAGCATTGCTACTTTGAATGTGGTGAGAATGCTATCTATCTCTGGATGAAGTGTAATGACAACCTCCTTAACATGCTTTCTATAGCTTGTGCCGCGCGGTCCTCGTAATTAAGGATATTACATCTCGTGGGATGAATTGCGCAATTGTCTCCAGTAACCAAGTGGTACCGCCAAGGCAGACTCTTGTTGCAGCCAAATAGAATGATTTGATGACAAGAAATGCACGTCAAACAATCAGTAATGCAGATTGACTAAGAAGTAATACATGGCTAACTACCTGCCTGAGGCAGACATCCCGTCTCCGCGGCTCAGTTCCGCCAATCTTCTCGACTTTCTTCCCCGCAACAACTAATCCCTCCCCCTCTTAGATGGTGATCAGACACAGGGCCACCGATCAAGGGCCCTGTTTCTGTCTCGACCATTCTCCATCCACACCAAAATGGCCACCCCACGAAGTACCCCCAGTATGAACGTCCCCGCGACCCAAAACACCGCACCGGTGATCCGCTTCCGCTGCCTCTACACCTATGACATGCGACGCAAAGCCAAGCGCTGGCAAGATGGTTTTCTCCGATACCACACCTTCAACAAACGCATCATGGTATACGATGTCGCCGGTAACTACGTGGGCGACCACCACTGCCGACAGGATGAGGGCATCCAGGACGGTGACGAACTGGAGCTGGACAACGGCGCCCTGATTGAAGTTTGCGAACCGGTGGAGAGAACAGAGACCGACCTGTCGGGGTTGCATAGTAACAAAAGAAAAGGTCAAGGCTCACCGTCTCAACGACCCGGAGGGACACCAACCCCTACAACAGTCGTCTATAATTCCTCTACCCCCGCACGACCTTCTTTGCCCTCCCAGCAGAAACCGACCCGCTCATTGAATGATCTTCTGGGTATCAAGAAAACTCCGACTCCGACACAGCGCGCAGGTTCGCCTCAGACGGGTCCTAGACAAAGCCATACATTGCCGGTGAATGGGAAGGAGAACGAGCAGGTGGATTACCCTGCGAAACGCAAAAAGACAGAGACCGCGTCCGAGAAGGTAGCCCGTCGGCGTGAACCAACAAGCGTCGATTTGACAGGACCAGAACCGCAGACATCAAAAAGACAGACAGAGACAACATCAATCGCACACTCTATAACAACTGACCCAAAGAACTACACCACAGCCCCTCCCATATCTCATTTGAAACCCACTCACCAGGTCAACAATATACCCCAGCGAAAGCAGACCGCTCCCAATCCTCCTCCCAAACCCCGAGAACAACCCCAACCCAAACCTCCAACACCAGAACCAGAACCAGAACCAGAACCACCAAGAAACAACGACCCCCCAGCCAACATCCTCCGTCTTCCCAGCAAAACTAAACCCTCCCGCAAGAAACTCATGTACCATACCATCCTAGCTCAACAGCAGCATAAACCACACCAACAACAAGAACCCCAACAACAGCCACAACCACATCCACAATCAGAGTCAGTATGTACCGAACTCCCAAACGCCGAACAAACCAAACTGACCATCACCCTCATACTAGAAACGACAATAACAACGACCCCATAGTACTATCAGATGACGACGATAATGATAGCCCACCACCTTCGCCCCCTCCGCGCCCGCAACACGATACCACCACCATACCGACAACAACTACACCAAAACCACCTCAATTCCTAAAAGCCGGAACAGAGCGCAGAACCGCCTCCCTCCAAAAAGCGCACTCTGACCCTACAGCCTTTACTCGCTTCAACTTGACCACCAATACCACCACCAACAATGCCCGTCCTCCCCCACAACAACATTACAATCATCGCCGTCGAGCATCAGAGAGCGGTAACAGCCCTCTAGATACAACTGACAATAACAATACCAACGAAGAAGAACCAGACACCGATGGTGGCCCATGGACATGGGAAGCTCAGTATCTATTCGACTATTGGCCGGCTGGACGGGCGAAGCCGACCAAGACTTGTTAGTCTTGATTTTTCCTACTGGAGATAGATACGTATGTTATGGCCTTAGTTTATATATGATACCCTTAGATAATTATCGAGAATATTGATGAGAACTGAAATGATGAAACCTTTTCCCGTGGTGATTATGGGTAAGCTACTAAGGCTAGGCTCTTTTATCGTTTAGTTAGTATCTCTTCGTCTCTCTCTACGATTGGCTAGCACAATTCCTCAATCTCACACACGATCTTCGATTATCACAAGGGTAGTCAACCTAATCAATTTCCCCAATGTAGAGCACACCAGAAAATCGACATGGATACTAACTGACCAACCAATCGCATTGGCACATGCGAAGCTAACCAATTGGATGCAATTGGTCGACAAAAAAGGACAACCCGCCATCAAAATCGCAACCAATTTGAGTTCACAAAAAGGGGGGAGGAAATACAGCTTCGATCGTACACAAGTGCAATCCAGCACAGGTAAATGCACAGTATTCTGTTGATATAGTAAAATGAAAAATGTAGAGGAAAAAAAGAACGAAAAATTTGTGGCAGATGGCAATCAAGCCAAGTGGGTAATGAGTGGCCCAAGTTCACAAGGTAGTAAGTATGTTAAGCTCACAATTGAGTAATCAACATAGGAAACATATGGATAGATGGACGGTTTCGTGCGAAAACAGCTCGCAAATGAATGACAACAAAAATGATGGGGGCACAGGAGAGGGGAGATGAGGTCAAGCCCCAGAGATTAAAAGGAACTAAAGTATAGAAACTGGCGGCAGTGAGGAATGTGCCCATCAGGGGGTATGCAAACTCGCGGCTAAGCTGATCCAGACGCTGATTCTGCGCTCATAAACACCAAATGAACATGATGAGGTGCCAAAATATGACTATAGTGATAATGCAAAAGAGGCTCATGCAAATGTTTAACACCATGGGAAGAAACTAGAGGAAAATCGCCAGGTAGGCCTCAGGGCCACGGCTCAGTAGGTTGCTCTCGATGACGGTTTCAATGATGGGAGTGGATTCGGTTGACACGGGGGCTGTATTTGCTGGTCCTTGACAGCGCGCCGACATCATGCTTGCCTGTTTCAAGGTCATTAGCTTTTTGTTACGATGGTAGGGCAACGGAATCGCAAGATTAGGGGGCAAAGAACTTACCATCGCAGCAGGCCCGCACATTCTCGAGCCGATCATCCTGTCTTTCCATCATTTGCCGCAGATCTTCCTCGCTGTCATGTGTATGAAGGCTTCCTTCATGCATGCTCGAGGTAGCGTAGTTAGGACCCTTTCGGCCGAAAGAACCCTTGATTGTGGTGTTTAAGATTGTACTAAGACGGGAGGAAGAGCCGTGTCTCTGGTCCGAGTAATGAGACGGCGTACTCAAGGCCGGGGAACTACGACCAGGGGTGGCCGCCCGACGGTTTGACAGGATGGACCCTGCACGTTGCTTAGGCCAGTTCCGGCTTGTACGACTCCGAGAAGACGAGAATGACAGCCGGGAGGTCTGACGCGACCGTGAGCGGAATCCGGGGTTGAACTCATCAATGTCTTCCAGTGAAGCATCACCCTCCTGCTCCTCACCGTTTTCCGTCGAGTTGCGCAACAGCAGATACGAGAGAGCATTGAACCAAGTCTCGTGTCTCTGACTAGTAGTTGCAGTGAACCTGATCCGGCGGCCCGGGCTAACCACTTCGAGACTCTTGCAATGAAGACCGGGAGGATAAGGATTGTCATCTGGAACAACTCTGACAGCTTCAATCAGAACACTCTTGGTGCGGAGCTCGCTCTTGCCAGCACTCTGTGGATCTTGTTCGCTCCAGTACAACGTGCGCGTGTACGGGTGGAGCCAGAAGTAGCGGCGATGCCTCGAGTTGGAGATTTCCCCGGACACGGTCTTGCGCGTGTATTTCCACAAGAACTCTCCGATCATGGTCTGTGTGATTGCCTGGATCATTCGCGGATCTGTACCGGCAGCATAACCTTGAGGGCCGAGAGCTGGGTTCGGATGGCCATTGAACCGTTCTTCAATCTCAGAAGCGAATGATGACACAGACGATCTCCGCGACACATGGCTCTCGCGCCTCACCTTCATCCTTGACATTGTAGTTGCGGTTCCAGGTTGAAGGTTGGAGTCATTGGGAGTCCGTGGACGCTGAGCTACATTCGTCCTGTAGGCCGACGCTGGGGCAAGAGGCGGGCCCATCAGGCTTGGAGAAGAGGGGCGCTGTTCCAACGATCTCTTCTCCGCTGCCATGATGGCCTCCCTATGATCTACGGGCAAGGGAGGATGGCTCTGGATGCTAGAAGTCTGGCTAAGAGCACTTCCAGGCCTCTTGTGGGACGGGAGAGACGTTGCGGAGGGTTGGTGAGTCGGGCGAGTCCTTGCCTTCGGAGTGGCAAAGGGAGAAGAATTCTGCTCCTTGGCCTTGTCGCTGTCTGGAGGAGACAATGGCCGGGCCACAATACGATCCATCAGGATCTGATCAATTTGCTTCGACGAGAGAATCGTCTGGGCACCCTGATCTGCGCGACTGGAGGACGAATGCTTCCGCACGTGACGTGGGACAGCGTTCCCGGAAATGGCACTCAAGGGGAGCGACTCATCCAACTTGATGTTGGCTGCACTGTTGACTGTACTATCGTCCAGGGTATCTTCTGAAACCACAAGCGAAGGCGGTTCCATCATCGAGCTGCTATTAAGCGACTTGTCATTCGACTCTGGAGCCGCGTTCTCGTCAGGAAATTGAAGCACGGGAATTGCAGGTGGCGGGGGAGTGGATTTGACGGGCAGGGTTTCCACGGAGCTGACAGTGGACAGTGACACATGTGACACCATAGGGACTGGCAATTCAGGCACCTGCGCGGGCATCGGCTCAGTGCATTGGGAGGCCGTGGAAGAGATGGCAAGGCTAGGAAGCGTTGGCTCGGGTACAACAGCATCAATGGGCTCTGTCTGTTGGGAAGAAATGGAAGAAAACACGAGCTCAGCCTTGGGCGCCGTTTGCTCTTCGATGGCGACTACAGGGGTGATCTCCCTCGGTTCTGGGATAGCCGCTACCGGCTGTGTCTGCTGAGCAAAAATCGAAGACAGAGCAATCTCTGGGCATTCTGCTTCCACGTTTGCAAGCGCGACTTCTGGGGTTGCCTCCACGGGTTCCACAAGGGCTTCAACAGGTTCTGTGTGCTGCGACAGTATAGTTGACAGAGACACCTCGGGCATCTCGGTACTGGTGCCATGCTCGGTCAACAGAACTGGGGGCGCGGGTTCTGGAAGAGCTGGCGCGACGGGCAGTGTACACTGGAAGTCGATCGCCGAGACGGTCATATCTGCCACGTATGCAGGCTCAGGCTCAGGAAGTTTTACCTCAGCTGGCGCAGTCAACTCTGAGCAAATGGCTGACAGTGTAACCTCCGGCGGTTCGGGAACAGCGAAGGCGACGGGCTCCGTGGTACCCCCAACAGCATATGAGGTGCTCAATTTTGGTAGCCTTGGTGCCACAGGAACAGTCTCCTGGAAAGAAACCGCAGAGACATCCGTTTCCATAACAGGCATTTGTTGGCCGACCGCTTTGACATCTTGAGCATCTACAACGACCTGGTCCTTCTCCATTTCTGCCTCGATGGGAGTCCATTGTGTGCCTGCGTGTGTCAATTGCGGCGGTACCTCTACCTCGGTCGCGGTGCTGGCATCGGACATAACTGTCTTTGTGGGAGTTGTAGGCAAACCACGAGCCTCCTCATCGTTCGTATCCTGGAGGCTAGTTGTCGTCACACTTGTGGGGACCCAAGGATCAGTCATCATGCCAGAATCAACCATAACAGGCTTGGGGACCGCGTCGAGTATAGCCTCCGAAGGTCGTCTGGAGTCGGGGGTGGGAAGCATGCGTGGGGTTGAGGACTGCGAGCCAGTAGCGAATCGCATAGAGGGGCCAAAGGCACCCTCATCTTCCTCTCCGTCTAGTTCCGCAAGCTCCATGAAGAGACTCTGACCCTCAGAGGATGGCAAGCCTTGAGTGAAGCTTGTCGCGGGGGACTCTCGTGCACTTGACGGTCGGCTACCAGAGGCCATCGGGGCTTCTCCTGAAGGACGAATCTTCCTCATGACGCTCCTCTTCTTCCTTAGGCGGTATCTAGGCGAGGACATTTGGCTAGGCGACGGGAAGCCCTCGTCGTAATCCTCGTCTTCATCGCCGGAGGTAGACGCAGTACTCTGGTAGGAAGTCCTATCGCGGGCTTTCGTCAATGTCAAGGATGACACTCTTCCGCGTGGTGTCCGCTGCAACTCCTCGGTTTCCGTGAGCTCATCGGTATCAGTGCTATCGTCAGCCATGCTTTCAATTCCGGTCTGGAAAGCTTCGCTTTCGGTCGCGGTTTCTCGTTCGTTGGCCGTCTCAAAATGGTCGTCGGCTTCGGTGGCAGTCTGGTACGCATCACTAGGTTCGTCGGACGATTGTCCTCCTACACGACCTTGGTGCAACTTCATGGAAGGCTTGTGAGACGGGCTGGCTTCGGTAGCATTGTCTTCCCAGTCCGAATCCTGGATCTCGATTTCTGCCCTCTTCCGTCCAGCACCCAGCAAGTCGGGCCGAGGAGCTTTCCTGGCGGCCTCAGCCTTGGTCTTCTGGCGCTTGCTTGACGGGTTCGTTGGGGCAGCGGCTTCGCGGCGACGCTGTTCTATCTCATCACGAGCTTCTTGCAGCATACGCTTGAGATCAATCTTTTCGGTCTTCTCGCGATGAATAGTGCTCTTGAGATTCTGGATCATCCGATGGGCATGACCCAGTGAACTCCGCAGCGTCTCGGTTTCCAGATGGTTGTGTCGAGGCGTGAACTTGTTGGGCGACGGGGGAGGGGAGTTCTCTGGCGTGGACTGGTCTTGATCATCCGATTCATGGCCACGAGAAACCTCGCGAGTGGATTCTGCTTCGTGTTGACGAATGCGCATTGCCACTGCTCGCGCGAGTTCTTCGTTCTGCGAGTTCAGCTCCTCGACTTTCTTTTGAAGAGCAAGCTTCT